TTTCCTGAGGAGGTTCTTTTGCATATGGATGGGCTGCTGAAATTCTAAACTTATCTGTAATGCTGTTGTGAGATGCAGAGCCTTTTCTGTTTTTTGGGACAGGAAACCATGCCCTGTTTATTTTTAAACTCTCTTCTTTCCTGTTGAAATTGTGTTTGTGTTTGTGAATTCCCATGGCTTCCCTGTGTCATCTGACATGGTAATTGTTGAGCTGCTTCAGGCCAACACGGCCGCCCATCTGGATCTACCCCCCTCCTTAGATCGAGAGCGTGTGACTGGCCCAAGGTCACCCAGTGAGCTTCCGTGGCAGAGTGAAGATTTGCACCTGGGTCTCCCAGATCCGCGTCTGACACTTTTCCCGCTCCCCCACACTGGCTCTCTCGACCACCCACCTTGTTTGTGTGTAGCCTCAACGACATCCTTGTTTTTCCTCTCTGTCCCCTTAGAAGTGCTACCACTTTATATTCCAACGCTACCGCCTGGAGCACTACACAGTCTCTTCGAACTGGCTGGCGCTGGGGACCGTCTTCGTCTTCGGGCTGCTGTCCTTGTCACGCTCCGTGGCTTTGTTCAGAGGTTGGTGCCGGAAAGGTTTATTTGTCGGTCACGGAATCCTGAACAAATATCCCAGAATGCTTCAGAAGCGGCCTGCTCCTCACTCATGCCGTGTGACGCCCTCCCCGGTGGCCTGAGGGGCCGTCTGTGCCGTGCCTGGGGAGAGAGGAGTTCTGGGAGACTGACTCAGACATTCCTTTGCTCCGGAGAGTCACCGAGGCCCTGGCCCAAGGAACTCTGTGCTGTCAGAACATTCTGTCCGTGCCGGGACGGGGAGCGAACACTGGCGGGGAGGGATTACAGACGCTGCTGTTACCCCACCCCCCCCAAACGCCCATGCCTCCAGCTTTGGGTGTCAGGCTGAACACTTCGTCAGGCAGCCCAGTTGAAGTGGAATGCTTAGCAAACCACTTTCAAAGTCCCTTTTGTCGTTGGTAATGGAGGACTGACGGCGACCCCGTAGGGTTTTCAAGGCAAGAGAAAAACAGAGGTGGTTCTGCCATCGCCTGCCTCTGCGTAGCAACCCTGGGCTTCCTTGGTGGTCTCCCCTCCAAGTTCTAATCAGTGCTGACCCTGCTTCGCTTCTGAGATTGGACAGGATTCACATGGCCTGATCCATGCAGGTCAGGGCGAGTCACTAATTGCCATCAAGTCACAGCCGACTTACGGCAAGAGAGGAATAGAGGTGGCTTGCCATTGCCTGCCTCTGCATAGGGACCTGGGAATCCTTGGTGGTCTCCCATCCAAGTACCAACCAGGGCCGGCCCTGCTTAGCTTCTGAGACCTGATGAGCTCAAGCTAGCCTGGGCCAGCCAGGTGAGGGGGTTTTGTAGTCACAAGGACTCAATCAGGTGAAGCGTCCATCTTCTTTTGCCTCCTCCTCTTAACAGGCACAGCTGAGTTGGATTTCTCTGAGGCCGAAGTGGCTATCGGGGGGGAAAAGTGGGGGGGGGGGGGGAGAATGTTTGTGCCTGAAGACTTTGAAACACCCCCTGTACAGTTCGGGGGTCCTCCTCCTGGCTTTAAGTGGCCCCAGGCACGGTCCAGTCACTGCCAAGTCTCCCGGTTCCCGATCGAGAAACGTTTCTTCCCTGCAGGTTACCACGGTCCTCTTGACCTGTACCCGGAATTCCACCGCATTGCCACCAACCCAACCATCCACACGGTGCCGGAGGGGAGGCCGGTTCACGTCTGCGTAGGGAAGGAATGGTATCGGTTTCCCAGCAGTTTCCTCCTGCCGGAGAAGTAAGTATTGCGGTGAAATCCGAGCGGGGTTGATTCCCAGGGGTCTTCGCCCCTCCCTGGTTCCAGGGCATGATGTGGCCAGGAGGGTATCCGGGGTTACATAAGAACATAAGAGACGCCAATGTTAGATCAGGCCAAAGGCCCATCCCATCCAACACTCTGTGTCACACGGTGGCCAGAAATACCAGTGCCATCAGGAGGTCCACCAGTGGGGCCAGGGTTACATTGGTGAGTGGGCCAGCATCCCCCCCCCCCGACTGCCATGGCCAGTGTTCCCTCTAAGCTGAGTTAGGGTGAGCCAGCTCACCATTTTTTAGGCCTCCAGCTCACACATTCTTTGTCTCCGCTCAGGAAGAATGGCTCCAGAGCAAACTAATTTGTGCAGGAGCCAAATCGCTCGCTCACAACCTTAATGCCAGTAGCTCACAAAGTGGAATTTTTGCTCACAAGACTCCACAGATTAAACGTTGGCCATGGCCTCTGCACATGCTCCGATACCTGTTAGACCTGGGCTTCAGCCATGGCAAGCTGCAGAGAAAGGGATCGGGGCCAGTGTTGCGTAGCAATAATAGGAAGAGATTGCGGGACTGTAATAATTCACCCGATCGCCATCTGCACAGCTGGATCGCCTCAATCTGCCACAGGAGGGCACGGACTCCAGGCACAGGCCAGTCCGCTGCAGTCTGTGCCCTTGATTCGGATAGTTTGTTTGCAAGTGAAAAACGCCCGCGGTTTTAATCCGCCTTTTCCCTCCCAACGGCTGTAGCTGGCAGCTTCAGTTCATTCCGTCGGAATTCAGGGGCCAGTTGCCGAAGCCCTTCGCCAAAGGACCGATGGCCACGCGCATCATGCCGGCCGATATGAACGACCAAAACCGAGAAGAGCCCTCCCGCTACGTAGGTATCGCCCACCCCTGTTTTCTGACTGACTGGTGGGAATGCATGTCCCTCACCCCAGGCCGGCATTTCTCTCGGAGGCCTTGGCGGTGTCAAGCTAGAGCTTCCTGTGTGTGGCTTTGTATGCAGAGCTGCAGGAGAGGGAGCGCAGTGACCCAGGTGCGTGCGTGTGTGTCTGTGATCATTTTGGTTCTGTAGTGGGCATTTTGCCTCTCAACCCTCCCTAAGAAAGAGCCTGTTGCCAGCTTAGTATAAGACACAAAACCAAACAAGGACCCACGGTAAGTAGGAAAACCAGCATACAACAAGTTACCGTGCACAGATGATTATAACATATCATAAATAATTTTATATTTTTTGAAGAATATTTTTACAATAACTTCTTATATCTCTTATATTGTGAATTGTGATCAAGATGATTAATTATGTATGTAGAAATTACTGTAAAAATATTTTTCATAAATATAAAATTATTTATGATTTGTTTATAATCATCTGTGCAAGGTAGCTTAGTATAAGAAACAAGTGAAGGCACACGGCCGATTCCGCAGACACAGTCTCGGGGGCTGTTCAGAACCGGCCCTCCTTCCAGTCGTGGTGCTGCTGACGCCCCAGGTCTAAACATGTAATTGTCGGAATCAAGTCAGTGGGATTTCGGTGGGTGTTGCTTCCAAACAGAAGGCAAAACCCGTGGGCTTTTCGGCATGTCCCAGCATGCGGGAGGCTCCAGCTCACCTCCCTGTTCGTCCACGTGTTGCGACATGCCAGAGAGGCCCCGAATGTTGCTTAGATGTGCATCGTGCGGGCAACAGTGTGTGTTTCGAAGGTACCAAACGAGAGCGACAGAGACCCCACTACAGTGACCTCCGTCCCTCTCAAAGACAGAGGGGGCTCATCTGAACTGTCTCCCTCTTCCCAGTTTGACATTTCCAAATGCCACTACCTGGTGGATCTAGACACGCCGGTGGAAACACCCAGGGAGCCAAGATATGCTGCTAATAAGGATGAGTGGATCAGTATCGCTTACAAGCCATTCCTAGATAGTTCCAGGTAAGTGGCTATTAAATCACAGATCTCTGGGAAGTGGATGAAGGGACGTTGGGTGCAGTTTGGGGGGTGGGGAGGTGGTGGCCGTTGATGCTTGGAAGTTGCTTCCTTGATGGAAGAGGCCTGTCGGTGTCCCTTGATGCACACGTGTGCTCGCCTGGCAAAGACCCACTGCAGCCGCTCTGCCGTTCCCTGTGTAGAAAGGTAAATATGGACAAACAGGACCCACTCAGAAAACAAGTATAAAGACAACAGTCGTGAGAGTCTGACCCACAAATCAAGCCGTCACCAAGACTTGCAAAGAAAGAGCTTCCGATGTATTGCAGTCTAAAGCACTACGACATCATTAATAAATCATAAGAAAATCCTTGTGCACAGGCACATAATCCAGGAGATATTCTGTAGTGTACAAAAATACAGTTCTTTAGAATATATACTATGTAAACAATAGAAAACAGTATAAAATCCTGGTGCAGTCTGTTAGAAGCTTAGCAGCGATTTTGAGCCTGAACATTTACGGAGATCAGCGTCCTATCTGGATGTAGTGTAAGTTACTACTAGGTTGGCTTAATTTTTAAAATACTCTGTAATTTAAAATGCCTTGTATTTTTTCATAACAAGAAGAACATTATTATATTGCAGATTCCTTATGACTTATTTATTTTTTTAATTTATTTATTTATCAAACTTATACCCCGCCCTCCCCGCAAGCAGGCTCAGGGCGGCTTACATACATAGTTGTATACATAAATACAGATTAAAATCATACAATTGTTTAAAACGCAACAGTAAAACCAACAATATAAAGTGCTGACAATAATTAAGGTTAACCAAGATAGTAAAAAAGGTAAAGGTTCCCTTGCTCAAAAGCCAGTCGAATCCGACTCTAGGGATGCGGTGCTCATCTCCGTTTCAAAGCCGAAGAGCCAGTGCTGTCCGAAAACATTTCTGTGGTCATGTGGCCGGCATGACTAAACACCAGGTGCACAGAACACTGTTACCTTCCCACTGAAGTGGTACCTATTTGTACATTATCAGAAAGGATTTCCACTGCCCAGATGTTCTCAATGATCTTCTGCTCATGATCAGCTTGATGTTAAAAACCCCGAGCCGGGTTCTGGAGTGGCAGTGGCCCTAATTAAATGCCTGGCGGAAGAGCTCCGTCTTGCAGGCCCTGAGGAACTGTGAAAGGTCCCGCAGGGCACTGATCTCTTCCGGGAGCTCGTTCCACCAGGTAGGGGCCACCACCAAAAAAGCCCCAGCCCTGGTAGTGGCCAACCTGGCCTCCCTTGGGCCAGGGAGGGTCAGCCGATTTTGAGACCCAGACCGTAGTTCTCTCTGGGGTATATGCAGGGAAAGGGAGTCCCGTAGGTATGTCGGACCCCGGCCATATAGGCCTTTAAAGGTAAGAACCAGCACCTTAAAGCGGATTCGGTATGCTATTGGCAACCAGTGCAGTGTCCTCAGCACAGGCTGGATGTGCTCCCATCTAGGGAGACCCATCAACAACCTGGCCGCAGCATTCTGCACTAGCTGCAGCTTCCGAATCCGTGACAAAGGCAGCCCCATGTAGAGAGCGTTACAGTAGTCTAGTCTCGAGGTGACCATCGCATGGATCACTGTTGCCAGGTCAGCGCGGTCAAGGAAAGGAACCAACTGCCTAATCAGCCTGAGATGGTAAAAGGCCGACTTAGCAGTGGCTGCTACCTGGGCCTCCATAGTAAGGGAGGGATCCAGGAGGACTCCCAAACTCTGAACCTCCAGGGGTGGCACCAATGGAGCCTCCCCGACGGTTGGTAGTGGGATCCCCACCCCTGAACCGCCCCGACACAGGCACAGGACCTCCATGTTCGTTGGATTCAATTTCAGCCGACTCAGTCTAAGCCAACCAGCCACGGCCTACAAAGCCCGGTCCAGGTCTTCCGGTCTGGAGTCAGACGGGCTGCCCAACATCAGATAGAGCCCAAGCCCAAGCACTTTATGAAACAGAGAGCTTTTGTACTACTCTGTAAGTAAGACTGCACCAGGATTTTATACTGTTTTCTACTGTTGTCTTTATACTTGTTTCCTTCCCCGTGTAGTGACAGCCCACACCACATGCACTGCTGCTCAGGGGTGGGATGAAGCCCTTCCCAGGGATGAACAGGACAGGACCGGAGCTGCACTGGAAACAGAACCGAGTGACCCGTTCGAGATCCAGGAGGAACCCAGCCCCAAGAGCCAGTGTAGTGTAGTGTAGTGTATAAGAGCGGCAGTCTCTAATCTGGAGAAGCGGGTTTTATTCCCTGTTTGTCCACTTGAGGCCCGCTTGGGCCGGTCATTGTTCTCTCAGAGCTCTCTCAGCTCCACCTATATCCCACAAGGTGCCTGTTGTGGGGAAGGGAAGAGGATTGTAAGCTGCTTTGAGACTCTTTAAGGTAGAGAAGAAGAGAAGAGATTGGATTTATAGCCCACCCTTCCTTCACTCGGAGTCTGAGAGGGGCTTACAAACGCCTTTCCCTTCCCCTTTGCACAGCAGAGTCTCAAAAGGACTTACAATCTTCACTTCCCCTCCCCACAACAGGCACCCTGTGAGGTAGGTGGGGGCTGAGAGAGCTCTGACAGAAACGGCTCTTTTTCAAGGACAGCTCTGAGAGAACTACGGCTTGCCTAAGGTCATCCAGCCAGGTGCAAGTGGAGGAGTGGGGAATCAAACCCGGTTTTCTCAGATTAGAGTCCGCGCACTTAACCATTACACCAAGCCTGCTCTTCTCCTTCTCCTTGGCTAGGGTGTCTGTTGGCAACCATGAGTTCCTTGCCTCCTCCATCTGACTGTGCGGGGCGGGGAGGGTGAATTCAGTCCCATACTTTCCCTTCCAGGGCACCATTTCTTCTTTTGTGTTGTCCTTGTTACCCCTTGGTGTAGTGGTTAAGTGTGTGGACTCTCATCTGGGAGAACCGGGTTTGATTCCCCACTCCTCCACTTGCAGCTGCTGGATGACCTTGGGCAAGCCATAGTTCTCTCAGAGCTGTCCTCTCTCAGCCCCACCTACCTCACGGGGGGAGTCTGTTGTGGGGAGGGGAAGGGAAAAGAGATTGTAAGGCGCTTTGGGACTCCGATTGAAGGGCGGGGTATAAATCCAATCTCCTCCTCCCCCTCCTCCTCTTCTCCTCTCCAAGTCTTGGCCTCCTTCGGGCGCTTCCTTTCAGGGGAACAAACACCTGCCCCTCCTCAGCCGCGTTTTGGGCCCTGCACCATCCCCGTCAGCCCACAATCGGCGGCAGTCAGCCTGGCTCGCCAAAGCTGTTCCCTGCCTGTCTGGCTTCCCCGGAACTCCCCACGCTTCTCTCTCTCTCTCTTCTTTAAAAAAAGATGGAGCGTGACTGCGAGTTGTTACCTTTTATAAAATAGCTCGATGAGTGGGTGGAGGGACAGCAGGCGCTGTGAGAATTTCCCCGAGGAGCGGAGCGGTGCGAGCTGTGTTAATAGGCTCCTGGCTTGCCAAGGAGAAACTGGATGGCCAGCGACGGGGGATGGCAGAGAGTCATGCTGCCAACTGAGCGGGCAGAGCCCCAGCGGCTGCCCTCTCGGCCTGTCCCTGCCGCTGTTCAGTCGCGCTTGCTCTGCGTCCTGTCTAAAGTCAGTTTGATGTAGTGGTGTAGTTTGAGAGCCAGTTTGGTGTGGTGGTCAAGTGCGCGGACTCTAATCTGGGAGAACCGGGTTTGATTCCCCACTCCTCCACTTGCACTCGCTGGATGACCTTGGGCAAGCCATAGTTCTGATAAGAGCTGTCCTTGAAAAAGAGCAGTTTCTGTCAAGAGCTCTCTCAGCCCCACCTACCTCACAGGGTGTCTGTTGTGGGAGGGGAAGGGAAAGGAGACTGTAAGCAGCTCTGAGACTCCTTTGGGTAGTGAAGGGCGAGGTATAAATCCAATCTCCTCCTCCTCCTCCTCCCCCCTCGGTATTGAGACCCAGTTTGGTGTCGTGGTTAAGTGTGCGGACTAATCTGGGAGAACCGGGTTTGATTCCCCACTCCTCCACTCACACCTGCTGGATGACCTTGGGCAAGCCGTAGCTCTGGCACAGGTGTTCTTGAAAAAGAGCAGTGTCTGTCAGAGCTCTCTCAGCCCCACCTACCGCACAGGGTGTCTGTTGTGGGGAGGGAGTTTGTAAGCTGCTCTGAGACTCCCTTGGGTAGTGAAAGGCAGGGTATAAATCCAATCTCTTCTTCTCTTCTTCTTCTTCATCAGATGGGGGCAGACTCCTGATACACCCATAATGTTGTTGGGGGGGGCAGCCTTTCAGTTGTGTCCCCCCCCCACACACACACACTCTGTAGTCCCTGCCAGTTAGAACAGCTCCAGCGCTTTTCTTTCTGAAGAGGGGCGGGGGTGGTATGAGTCAGGAAATCACATCTTCCATCTTGGAACTGAGCCAGTTTGGTGTCTTGGTCAGGAGCGCAGATTCTAATCTGGGAGAACCGGGTTTGATTCCCCACTCCTCCACATGCGGCTGCTGGTGTGATCTTGGGACAGTCACAAGTCCTTCCAGAGCTGTTCTCTCAAGGGCAGTTCTGGAAAGAGCTCTCTCAGCCCCACCCACCTCACAGGGAGTCTGTTGTGGGGAGGGGGAGGGAAAGGAGTTTGTTAGCCACTCTGAGACTCCGAGTGAAGGGCGGGGTATAAATCCAATCTCTTCTTCTCTTCTTTAACGGTTGCACTCTGCACATAGTTTTGTGAGGGGAGGAGTTGGAATTTGAAGAGGGAAAAAAGGGGTCCTGGTTTAGACTTGGCCCAGATTTAATCTGCAGACACTCCCACAAGGGCCGGAGCCCCAAGTTTCCCCCTGAAGCTTCCCATATAAATCTGGAGCTGGTCCGAGGCCCTCTGCTGAGGTTCCTGTAGAACGGGCTACTTCCAGTTTCCAAAGGACAGAGAAAGGGGGCAAGCCCTGAATTCTGGCAGTCTTGGCGCTCTGGCAGCCGCTTCACTGATCCGAACACTGTGGCTCAAAAAAGAAACGAACCCTTGAAAAGCGGACTGTCGATCTGCTATTGGGTATTTTCCAGATAGAGAGGAATTTGGCCTCCGGCTGCCTGCCCCCTCCCCTCCTGGCCCTGCAGGCCTCTGCTGTAGGGCTGCCGGGGGAGACGCCAGAGCAGCCTGCATCGGTGCCCCCCCCCTCCAGGCAGGCTGTAAATAATGAATCACCAACTGGCCATGGATGCCAACGACAGCCCCAAATGTTCCGGGTGACTTTCTAGAGTTAGTTGTGAGACTGAAGGTTCCCCGTTGCACAGACGTGCCGTGTGGCAAAGAGGGCTGCGGTTTCCTGCAAACGTTAGCAGTGTAGATGCCACTTTGGTTTTGAGTTGCTTCCGAAGTCTGGCTCTTGGGGAGGGAAACGGGAGGGGGGGGAGAGAGCCCGGAAAGGGGCTTGCACAGCTGCTGGGGGAGCCTGGCCTCACCAGAGCACAGGGCACTCCGTTCTTCAAGCCCGGCAGCTCCGAGGCTTCGGGAAACTAATGACCCCAGCTGCTCGATTCGTGCTCGCTGAACCGGAGGCTTCTGGGACACCGAGCCTCCCCGATTGACGTCAGCGAGGGCCGCTGCGACTCTCCGCTGGCTCTGATAAATGGTGCTGCTAATTGAATTAGAGCGCACTCAGAGCCACCGACTAATTATGCCACTCCGGCAGCAGCTTTGTCCGGGCCCGTTTAATTCCGCGTTGGCCGAAGGCTCCGGTTGGGGTGGCGGAAGGGGTGCGGTGCTCGGCCGAGGGTCTGCGGCTCTTGCGGGTGGGACACCTGCTTTGCCACAGGCCCGGGGGCCTTGGATGAGCCACAGAGCCCGGGGCAGGATCCCTAAACTCCTAAGGCCTAAGGCACGCCTCTCGCTTCCCCTCACAAAGGCCTGCTACTGGCCCTGACCCAGATAGCCCAGGCAAGCCCAGCCTCGTCAGATTTCGGAAGCTGAGCAGGGTCGACTCTGGCAGGTACTTGGAGGGGAGACCTCCTGGGAATACCAGCAGTCGGGAGGCGGGGGCAGTCTTGACTCGGCCACCTCTCTGAAGATCCTCCAGGCCCCCAGTAGGGGGTCAGTCACCAGGGGTCGCCATGACTTCCAGGTGCACACACACTCACACGCACATATGGAAAAAAAAGTTTTTCCTCCCACCCCCCCCCCCCCCCCCCCGCTCCTCAGGAGCCTGCTAACGGCCTCTCGGCACAAGTCCTCCGAGAAAAATACGCTCCTCCATCTCTGCACGGGGAATGAGCCGATGCAGCAGGGAAGCAGCGAGATCGCTTGCTCTTGGCAAAGGCCAGGCCGGAGGAAGGAGGTGGGAACAGGGTCTCCCAAGGGCCTGCTTTAAAAACAAAACACTTCTCCTTTGCTCCTTCCAAAACTTAGGATTGCCCGGCTGTCGTTTTAGTGTTGCCGATTTTGCTTCCACGGTTGTCTTGGTTTTATTGTGATTAGCTGCCTTGGTGGAGAGAAAGGGGCCGGAACCTTCTCAAGAGGGGAGCCGTGTTGGTCCGTAGAGGGAAATTCGAGTCCGGTAGTATCTTAAGAGACCAATGATATTTTTTTTGGGGGGGGATTAACATCTGAGGGTCAAAGAAGAGAGAGAGCAGCTCACAATCTCCTTTCCCTTCCCCTCCCCTCCCCACAACAGACACCCTGTGAGGTAGGTGGGATTTGAGAGAGCTCTTTCCAGAACTGCCCTTGAGAGAACAGCTCTGAAAGGACTTGTGACTGACCCAAGGTCACACCAGCAGCTGCAAGTGGAGGAGTGGGGAATCCAACCTGGTCCTCCCAGATGAGAGTCCGCGCTCCTAACCCCTACACCAAACTTTCTCTCAAAGCTTGATACCCTGAACATCTCGTTGGCCTCAAAGGCGGTCCTGGACTTGAATCTAGCTAAACATTTTCAAGAAACTAGTGTGCAGAAGGGCTGGGGGGCTTAACTAAATCTGAACTCAAGGCCACTGTCCCTTTTATACACCTGAGAACAAACAGTCCAGCTGTAAAAGGCCTTTAAAACGGCATGTCTTTCCAGGTCTTCAAAGCTGTTTCGGGCCTTCTACGTCCCCTTCCTGTCTGACCAGCATACAACGTACGTGAACTATACCATCTTGAAGCCCCGGCGAGCGAAGCAAGTCAGGAAGAAAACGGGAGGCTAGCAACTCCGGGGGCCCATAGAGAATCGGCCAGAAGGGTTGGCTTTCTGCTTCCTTAATTCCACCTCCTACCCCTACATTTCTACACGGAGGGCGGCAGGGGTGCCAGGAACGGGGCTTGCGATGGTTTCCCCTGCGGCTGTTCGTTCTGCGGGGTCTTTCCAGCTACATGACCGGCCCACGGTTGGCGGTTCCCCGCTTTGCTTCCTGGGCCGTCAGCAAGGCCGTGACCCTGCTGCTCTCTTGCTGTAAGAGGGAACAGGAGCAGACGTCTGGGACCATTTCCTAGGTGCGGCAGGGTCTCCCGAGTGTGCCCACCTGTCTCTCAGCTGTCCCCCCTACGCTACGGAACATCTCACTCGCTCTTGAAGGGAGTTCGTGTTCCTTCTCGGAGGGGCTTTCAAAAGAGGAACGGTCGCGATGGCTGGCAGGAACACAAAAAGCTCCCTCTGGCCAACGGACAAAATTGCTCCCAAAACGGACCTGGAGGGGGCGGGCAGGACTTTGCACTTTCAGAAACAGACATTGCTAGCGGCGTAATTTAGCGGAACGTGACTTTTGTGTCCGTGGAGTCTCCTTCCCACCGTCCTCGTAAGCACCTGCCACGGGAGGATTTTAGAAGGTTCTGTGGGGAAGGTCCAAGCTCTGTAAATTCAGAACATTTACAGAGATGTCGGGGAAAACACGAGGCCCTCCTTGGGCTTGCTTATTTCGGGCTGTACCATGTGATGAAACTGTTGTTAGATGTTCATTAAAAATTAGGCTCTGCCTCCTCCAAGCACAATTTCATGATGGAACGGAAGTGAGACTGTCTTCCCCCCCCCCCCCCCCGGCTTGTCCAGCAGCCCTCTAGCTGTTGTCTTGGTGTGCACGGCCTCTGAATCGGCTCCCCATGGTCTGGAAGAGTCTGGAGCAGCGGGTGGTTTCATGCGCCAGTTTGGTGTAGTGGTTAAGTGCCCTGACTCTAATCTGGGAGAACCGGGTTTGATTCCCCACTCCTCCACTTGCATCTGGCTGGATGACCTTGGGCAAGCCATAGTTCTGGCACAGCTGTCCTTGAAAAAGAGCCGTTTCTGTCAGAGCTCTCTCAGGCCCGCCTACCTCACAGGGTGTCTGTTGTGGGGAGGGGAAGGGAAAGGAGTTTGTAAGCCGCTCTGAGACACCTTTGGGTAGTGAAGGGCGGGGTATAAATCCAATCTCTTCTTCTTCTTCGTTTGTCAGAGGTGATGGCGAAGGGCTCTCATTGGCGGTAGGAGCAGGGATTTAAGGCTTTGCAAACACGGAAGTTGCTCTGGAGCAAACTCGGCCCTGGGAGGTGGGTGGGAGAAGACAGCTGCTTTTCATCAAGGAGGACAGCCTGATTTATTATGTACCTATTCGGTGGTAGGGTGGAGAGAGAAGAGCAAGGACATTTCCTGGTTGCAGCTGACCTGCCGGGATACAAATTTCTGGCGACCGAATTGTTTCCCTGTAGCGAGAAACTCTCAGTTTGAAGCCTTGTTTATTCATTATACATTTTTTCTCCTGATTCCTGTGCATCTTAAAGGGGGCTCGGGATACGCAGAGGTTTTACTCCAGAGAAAAGAGTGTCTGATCACTGTTAAAAGAGCTGTTAGGTTGGGGTTACATGCAACCCTGGAGGGAATTGGGGCAGAAGAAGAGAACTGCCTTGAGACATAGGTGGCGGGGCAGTGTTCCCTCTAAGCTGAGTCAGTGTGAGCTAGCTCACTGTTTTTTTGGCTCACATTTTTGCCTCCGCTCAGGAAGTAATTGATGCAGCAGCCAAATCGCTTGCTCACAACTTTAATGCCAGAAGCTCATAAAGCTGAATTTTGGCTCACAGTAATTGATGCAGCAGCCAAATCGCTCGCTCACAACTTTAATGCCAGAAGCTCATAAAGCTGAATTTTTGCTCACAGGACTCCACAGCTTAGAGGGAGCGTTGGGGACCGGTGCTCAATGTTCATTTCAAGAAGAGAAAATGGAGGCGGACTTGAAGCTCTGTTCCTCTGGCTCCGGTGGTGGTGGCTATTTTATTATTATTTAATCGATCTATTAATCACCCTATCTTAGCTTACTCTGGGCGATGTACAAAGGGGCACAATGCCATAAACGATGCAAGACATTAAGAGCTGGGCATCCTCTCTTGCTACGTTCAGCCCAATTGCCAGGGGGGCGGTGAAGAAACTCGCCCAACGTCTCCCTATGAAAATTAACACGCCAGCCATTTCCACCAGTGGGGACAAAAGTCGCAGGCCCCTGCCTCCGTGGGCCCCTCCAGTTCCCCTTCTGTCAAAGGGAGCTGAGTTCAGTCCTCCGTTCCAGGTTGGAGGACTGCTTGGAGAAGGCTGGAATAACAGAGGAGCTGCGGCCAATGAGGAGGGGTGGGGAGAGGGAGGGCTGGGCCCCAGCCGGGAACGGCTCTTCTTCGCTGTGTGCGTCAGGGACTCTGGCAGGGAGCCCCCGCCTTCTCAAGCCTGTAGGGGCATTTGGAGTTCCGACACAGTGTGGTGGCAGCTGCTGCCAAAGCAACATTTGGACACGTCTGAAGCTGCCTTACACCGAATCAGACCCTTGGTCCATCAAAGTGAGTGCCCAGACTGGCAGCAGCTCTCCAGGGTCTCAGGCGGAGGTCTTCCCCATCACCGACTGACAGATCCTTCAACTGGAGATGCTGAGGATTGAACCTGCAACCTTCTGCATGCCAAGCAGATGCTCTAGCACTGAGCCACGGCCCCTCTTTGCAGCTCTCCAGGGTCTCAGGCTGAGGTCTTTCCCACCACCTCCGGCCTGGTCCTTTTAACTGGAGATGCCGGGGACTGAACCTGGGGCCTTCTGCATGCCAAGCAGATGCTCTAGCACTGAGCCACGGCCCCTCTTTGCAGCTCTCCAGGGTCTCAGGCTGAGGTCTTTCCCACCACCTCCGGCCTGGTCCTTTTAACTGGAGATGCCGGGGACTGAACCTGGGGCCTTCTGCATGCCAAGCAGATGCTCTAGCACTGAGCCACGGCCCCTCTTTGCAGCTCTCCAGGGTCTCAGGCTGAGGTCTTTCCCACCACCTCCGGCCTGGTCCTTTTAACTGGAGATGCCGGGGACTGAACCTGGGGCCTTCTGCATGCCAAGCAGATGCTCTAGCACTGAGCCACGGCCCCTCTTTGCAGCTCTCCAGGGTCTCAGGCTGAGGTCTTTCCCACCACCTCCGGCCTGGTCCTTTTAACTGGAGATGCCGGGGACTGAACCTGGGGCCTTCTGCATGCCAAGCAGATGCTCTAGCACTGAGCCACGGCCCCTCCCCAAAAAGTGAATGCTTCCTCCCCTCCCAGGACCACAGGAATCAGACCCTTGGTCCATGACAGTATTGTCCGCTCCGACTGGCAGCCGCCCTCCAAGTTCTCCGGCAGCCGTCTTCCACATCACCTCCTTTCCTGGTCCTTTTAACTGTAGATGCCACCGGGGATTGAACTCGGGACCGTCTGCGGGCCGAGCAGGTGTCCAGTGGCCAGTCACAAGCCTTGCTTGGCAAAACTCCCCACCTGGCAGCACCCACTTTCTAAGAACCCTTGGTGGACGGGGCGCCACAGTGGGGACTTCAGGCTCTGGAGAGGTGCTTACAGGAGACCTTGAGAATGAATTTTTCTCCGTGGCTCCCCCCCCCCCCAGACAAGGAGGAGAGAAGCTCCGGTGTGTTTCTCGGGAAGGGAAGCGGGGGGGGGGGGGGAGAAAGCAAGCAACAGCTGGGTGTTGAGTAAGTCACGACTCCTTGAGCTGAGCTGATGTACCAGAGCCTGGAGCCCCTCTCCCAGCTGGTTTATGCAACCCAGCGTGAATCATGCCATCTATGAGCTCAGGGCCTATTCTTAGACAGCGAAACTGCTGCCTCAGACAAGGTTGCCTTATAAATAGCCGCTTCTCCCCCCACCCCACCCCAAAAAAACTTGGGGCAGAAGAAACGGGGGGGGGGGGCTTTGCCTGTTTCTGCAGCCTCTCCCACGCCCTGACTGCCTTCCAAACCCCGTCGACTGCTGCAATCTTCACCTCAGTTTGGTGTCGTGGCTAAGTGCGGTCATTCCTCTTCTCTCCTTCGAACATCTGCTGCCCGGGCAGCAAAGAGCCAAGAATGAGCGTTTCCCATGTAATCTGGGTGGGTGCGCAAAGAAAGGCCAGAGAAATCATGCTGGATCTCATCGGGGCTAAGGACCGATCCTGCCCCTGTACCCGCCGTCGTCCCAAAGGGGCCCGAGTCCACTCATGGGTTGTCTAGGCCTCTTTGCCCTCCAGTAAGGAGAGTTAAAATCTCAACAACCCACCCACCCCTTGGAGTTTTAAGTGGGTGAACTAGAGTGCTAGACCAGGAAGTGAACTCAGCCCAACTGCCGGGATGCAAGGACCGTTGCCTATTTCTTTAGCCAGGGAATGAAGCAGCAGCTTCTGGAACTCAAGCCACATTGGCAGGCAGACAAACAGATGTGGAATGGCAGACAGATAGTGCAGCACCGGAATCTGGGCACCTGCAGTAGTGCATCAGGGCCAGTGGCCCACCTGGCCAGAGCTATTTTGGGGGAGGGGAAGATGGGGGCCTTCCTGTCCTGATCCAAACCGGGCCCTCCAGTCCTTGGGCAAGTCAGCTTCCTATATCTCTGCATGGCAAGCAAGTCAGGTCAAGATTCCCCGACCTGACGCTTGGCCAAAGGCATCTTTGCAGTCTGGCTCTCAATTACCATCTATATGAGTGGAAAAGAGCAAGAGTTCAGGAGCACCTTAAAGACTAACACAATTGGTGGCAGGGCAGGAGCTTTTGTGGGTCACTGCTCACTTCTTCAGATACAGCTGGAATGTGAGTCCATCTGTCCTATATATTAGAAAGTGGAGTGATTTCAGATTCCAAAGGACATTAGCAGGCAAATGGCAATAGCAGGTGTGATTGGATTAGGTGTGATATGCAGAGGGTTCCTCGGTGTGGAGAAATCAGCATTGGTAGTGAGACAGGAAACCTAGGTCTCGATTCAGTCCAGAAGGGCACGTTGCCTTGGGCTTCAGCAGTCTCTCTTTCTAATCTCCCTTTGAAATTCCTTTGAGACAGATCAAGATGGGTAGCCATGTTTGTGGCAGTAGAAGAGTAAGAGTCCAGTGGCACCTTAAAGACTAACAAAATATGTGGCAGGGTGGGAGCTTTCATGAGTCACTGCTCACTTCTTCAGATGCCAAATGACAAAAGCAGGTGTGATTGGATTAGGTGTGATATGCAGAGAGGTAGTACTCTTTAAGGCTAGTCTTTAAGGGGCTACTGGACTCTTACTCTTTTCTACCAAATTGAGTATAAGAGATCGGCAAAGTTTCATGGCAAAGCCGGAGAGACTGAAGGGGGCTTGTGTGCTTATTGGGGGTGGGGGGGCTAGCTTCTTTCAAGTAAAGAACTAGGACCGCAGGAGGAAGGGTTCAGTATGCCACACTCTCCAAACAGATTTGAACAAAAATAATAAATAAATGCAAACTCGTTGCTTAGCAGAGGACTGTTCAGAGAGGCGGCCACAAACTCCGGTGGTGCCGCGCAAGAAAAGCTTCGCCACAGCCAGGCCTCACTTTCGGCTGGGCCCCAAAACTCCTTGTGCTCGCCACAAGAGGCTCAGGCAGCATGAAATGCTGGATACCCAGCCCCCCGTTTGAGAAAAGTATTTATTAGAACATTTCTGTTCCATCTGTTCGTCCTCTGCAGGAGAGCCGGCTCCAATGAGTACAGATTTTTAAACAACTGAGAACAGGTCAACAGCCGAAAAC